AATCAATAATTAAGGCTTGCAGTCGCATGGGATCTCAGGGCAATAGCCCATGCTATAGCAAGGTCTTGTTTGGCAAAAGTAGAGAACACGAAGGTTGAGCCATGCAATCACACAAAATTTGGACGAAGATTCTATTTCCTTTTTGACGTCTTCAAGTTTTGAAAAGCAATTTAGTCAACAATTTAACCCACTTTGGACTTTCAATTTTGTGGCAATGCTAGAAAGAGATTCAAGGCTAAGAACATCAAGACATTGAAGATTCAAGATTAGGGATTGAAAATTAGAGGTAAAATCGATACTAGTCTATTTCTTGCAATTATATGTTTCAGGTGATGGATTTTCAAATCTTTTGTTGTAATTTCATTATTGAGATGCTAGGCTAAACATAGTAGGGTTAGGATGAAGTTAAAAATATCTTTTATCCGTTTTAATTCAAATACTATTTATTAGTTTATTTGTGTTATTGATTGATATTGAATGCTTATTCACCATTTAGATAACAGGTTATTTATTTTGTTTTAGATGGTTTGAAATAAGTCTGGAACTTTGCAATAATCAACTTAAGGCTCAACAAATATTAAGAATAATAGTTTATGACTTATGCAATCAAATAAGTAATTGTGCAAGTGAACGCATTGCTTCACATATGAATTTGGGATATGGATATTTCGAGTCGTGCTTGTTTGGCTTACCTATGTGGAGATAGTTAAATAAAATAAAATTATTGATTTTTCAATTATACACAAATTACACTAGAGAACATATATCGATAATTGAAACATGAGAATAATAGGTGGAGTCAGAATTTCAATACTCTTTTTATACATAGAATTCACGTGCATTTAGATAATAATTAGGACAAACTTTAGTAATTATCACCAACAAGCATCAAAATTCTCTAGTTTCGATTACATCTGAGTTTGATATCAAATTAATAGAATTCAACTTAAAATCTATTTTTCGTGGGAGGATACTTTTACTCCTAGCTATTACTTGCAACTATCACCGAACTAAGTGACTTTAAGTCTTTTTTTTTTTTTTTTTATTCACAAGTTGCTTGTTAATCCTAATTGGATACTTGTTAAAGTTCTATTTTTTTTTTATAATTTTAAATGAATTAATAAATTGTATGTTAATATTCTTGTATTTTAGGACAAAATATAGTTTTATCTTATAGTTTATGTTTCTTTTCAAACTTCTAGCTGATCATTGGACAACCAGGGAGGTATAGGTGTTGTCCTCAAAAAATGTACCTCTAACGTGGTCAATAGTTTGCAGCTCCACATAGATACTCTCCTACACACTAAGATACAACTGTTAGTCACCCATAACACTCTCCGATGATGGTGGAGGTGGTCTCAAGCATTTCAGCGGTAAAGTCAGTTGGCGATGATAAGATATGATGTGGCACATTTGTAACGTGAGCCACTGAGAGATGTGTATAGTAAATATAAACAACGAGAGGGAGATAGCAGTGTATATTTGTGTATGTTTTGGATTGCATTACCTTCAAATGGCTAAGTGTTTGAGTTTTATAGTGATGAATGTGGAGTACTCATCGTATGATGAGGAAACAAGTGGATTCATCTGGTGGCAAGGGCGTCCCATGTCTTCTCATAGGCACTGATCCGTCAATCATAGGTTGACGGGATTTAATACAGCATTTAATGCTCTATAAAAAGTGGACTAACGACTTGAACTTTAAGCGTCTACTATAAAGATGTTACATCAATCAATTATAAGAAGATTTTTAAAAAAAATCTCTTTGGGAGATGTGAAACAGAAGATGCTTCTTAGTTAAGCAACTCATAACTTCTGACATCTTTATGTGGTAGACGTAACACCTCATTTCCGACCTAGAAGCTCATCTTCCAGACACACCGGATAAGGCGTTATATCACCTTGGTATATCCCACCTCAGCAACTGGGTGGTGATGTAAATGGTGACGTGAGAGTGGGTCTGATTCGACTTTTCACCAGGTAGCGCATACTTGGCATTGATTTGAGTCTCATAACAAATGCAACATGACATACACCATGCCAACTTATCACCTCGACAATGATTATACTTCGACCCTAAATTGAATGTCCATGTATTACATGAATATCCCTACACGGACTTGAAAAACTATTGTTACGCCTCTTCTAATGAGGCTCTAGATCATCACCTCGTGTGTGCTGTCAGGTGTTAAATTAAATTAGACCCACGCTCACATCACCATTTACTTCACTACCCACTTGGCCAAGGTAGGATATATCAAGGTGACATGATGCATCATTTGGCGTGTATTGGAGGACGACTTCATAGGTTGCGGATGAGGTACTACGTCTATCGTAGAAAAATACCTGAATTGATGAATTGCTTAACTGACGAGAAGCATCTCCTGTTTCACATCTCCCAAAGAAATCTTTTTAATAAATCTTCATATGATTGACTAACGTGGCATATCTGTAGCCGACGCTTAAAGGTCAAGTAGCCGTCCATTTTAGAGAGATCATTAAGTGCTGTATTATACCTGCCAACCTATGATTGATGGATTGATACCTTGAAGGAGACATGGGACGCCCTTGCCACCAAATGAAACCACGTGTTTCCTCATCCTATGGTCAGTACTCCACATCCAAAACTATATAAAATATAAACTCACACATGTATTTGAAGATAATGCAATGTTGACAAACACAACTTTCTCTCTCTCATTGTTTACAATTTACATATACACATCTCTTAGTGCCTTACGTTACAAACATAACACACCATATCTTATCACCATCGACTAACTTGATCGTCGAGTGCTCGCGGCCATCTCCACCACCATTCGAAGAAGGCAACGGTGATCGACGGTTCATCCTAGTGTGCAAAAGAGTGTCTACGTGGAGTTGCAAACTATTAGCTACGTTGGAGGTGCATTTTTCGAAGTCAACAATAAGCTCTAACAAAATGGTGGTTATTGAGATATGAAGATATTTTTAAGTGCAACAATTTACATTTACATTTGTTGTTGGAATAGTAATTATGCAAGCAAAAATGAATTGGGTTAGTGAAATAATTAGTGAACAGGTAAGAAACAACATAAAATTTCCTCAAAAGTTTAGAGTTTATACCACATAAATGCGGTCATAAATGAATAGAGTTTAAAACTATAAGAATCCTTTGAGTAAACAATAAGTCGTGTCTGTCCTTCAAAGATTTTGTTTGAAAATAGATTTTGTGAAAAAATAATTATTTTTTGAGAATGTGTAGTTAAAAAATAAGTAAAAGTTACGAGTCCATGTTAAAATAATTATTTTTTAAGAATGTATGATTGAAAATGAATTTTAAAAAATGGGGCCAAATATGGGCTAATTAAACTTTCAATGAACTATTTAAGACTGCATTTACCTTCAAGTTATTATACTGTCATATGTTCGATTGTTGATGATGGTGTTTATTATCACAAATAATAACTAGTTACAACAGTTTCATTCTCATAGCAAATTAGTAAACAAAGTGTATATAACTACATATTTATGACGATTTTATGCCTCGTAAAACCATGGTAAAAGGTTTTTTAAGGTAACTGATTAAAGTATTCACCATGACTTTTATTACTAGATATGAAAATTCATGGTAAAAACTTCTACTGCAGATTTCATTGTCTGTTACTATGGTTTTCAACCTTAGTTAAAGGGCTAGTTTCAAGTGGTTTTTTTTCCCAAGTCCGAGGCCTTTGAATTTTTCCCTAGTTAATGAGTTTTGCATAGTTCACAATTTTGTACTGCACATACTTTACACAAAATTCCATTATCACACTAGGATGAATGATAACCTGCTCGTGTAAGAAATTATTTCTTTCATAAAAATGTCCTAAGCTTAGATCAATGAATAAGATGAATAAAAGAAGCAAAAACGCAATGTTTTTTTGAATGTTCTTGATAACACTAATAGACGTGTTCAACGTTCTTTACTACAAGAACATTGTGAAAGCGTTATTTGGACAATATTGAACATATTTCAAAACTTGCCAATAGCAACATTTTTAATCTTCACTCTAGGTCCTTTTCAATTATAAAGATTGATAGGTTTTAGTTGATTTTGTTATTGGCAAATTTTGTGAACAAAATGGCTTAATTTGATATAATGTCAAAGTTCAAGGAGTAATGTGCAATTTGTTTAAAAGTTGTTAAATAAGTCTAGGGTTTTGAGTTTGGAACAAGGAGGAAAAATGCATGAATTTTCGCTAAACTGTCGCCAAAGGTTGGCTTGAACTACAAAAATAGAAACTACTTCGCTGGACTATCACCTATCCTTCGCTCGATCGAAGCACTGTCGCTGGCTCTTCGTTCGAGTGACGCTTTATACGGGAAATTTTATTTTCGCGTTTTAAATGCTTTTGTCTCAACCCATTGATTTCTTGACCTATCTATATATAACAGAACACGTACAAAACATTTTTTTCTTAAGGTTGATAATTGAGAGAGCTTCATCATTGAGAGATCTATTCATTCCATCATTCAACTTTCATCTCGTGTGAGTGTTTTGGTCAGAAAACATCAGATCCAATATCCAAATACCA